CAAATATTTCGTAAATTTTCTAATATTAACATACATACTTTTTCAACATAGCTATATACATTAGATATCGCATACGGACCCTGAACATGCGTCAGTAGCGCCGCCACATTTGTACAGTGCTCCCATGACAAAAGTCATTCACCCGCACTAGTTAAGACTAAAGCTAATGTGAAGATGCTGAACTTCAGTGTTGTGTAAGGGGGTAATAACGATCAAACAAAGCACAAGGGAATAACATTTCATAGGCAAGATTTTGTTTTTTACATTTTTGTATGTTACAAACCTTTGTGCTAAACAAGTAATGTTATTTATTTTTTATTTACTTTATTTATTTATACAGGGACAATGTACAACATGACATGTTGTGCCAGAGTTAGCTATAAAGCTAATTTACATCTGTAGTCCCTGGGCAGGAAGTAACAAATTTAACATGGTAATAAAATTTAATGGTAATACAATCACTTACTGCACTGACCATGAGGCAAAGTAGCACCAGCTCATACTAAAAACTAGACTTATGTTAGTTTTGTTGAGTAAAATAAGCCAACAATGTAAATGAAATATGACAACAAGACACTGCAGTGCTAGAAACTTGTATTATTGTTGGCTAATTGAACGAGACGTTCTTAACGGTGATTCATTCACAGACGAATTGCTCCACTATGTAAAAGCAAGAGAGGGGGTGTGTTTCAGGACATGAATAAGATCAAACTACCTAAAGTTTGTTGATGAACTTTGATGTTGGCTTGAGAAAGCCAACAACATGCAAGAAGTCCCATTTGATAGAATGAGTCAAACACAAAAAACGTATATGACATCTACTGAGAAATCATCTTAAAGGGAGGGCCAAATTTGGACTTTATAGCATGAACGGCCTTGGAGGAAATGCATTTACTTTGCAGAATAATAATAAGTTCAAGTAGGAAAAGCCAACTCTCAAGCCAACATTATCAACAGAAAGGGAGGATAATACTTTTCCATGCACACAAACACACGCTCTTTGTCAGGAATGCTCGTGGGGCCACAAATCGATCGATGTAGAAAAGTGATTAAAAAATGTTTGCATATTGACCACCAGTGCTGTAAAGCAACTCAAAAATACTCAAATTACTGTAATGGAGTATTTTTTCTCAGAAATCGTAATGTGCTAAGTAGTTTTAAAAATGTGTGCTTTCCCTTGAGTACAGTTTTAGTGCAGTATCGGTGATTTAACCCCACTACTTTCCTTCAACCTGCAGTCACTAATTTATTTTTTCTTGTCCATGGGGATTAGAAAAATCAGTCCTGTGATTCCTTTCCAATCAAATCGCATAGAAGGTAAATCTTATAATAGAAGCTGTATCAATAAAGCTGAAAACTTTGGAAAATATCTAGTAAAATATTATGTAGTCATCATGGCAAAGATAAAATGTATCAGTTATTAGAAAATAGTTATCTTGTTTATAAATGTGTTGGAAAAAAAAAATCTTTCCATTAAACAGAAATTAGCGAAAAAATATAAAAGGGGCTAAAAATTAAACAGTATACATTTTTTTTATTATTCGTGAACATTCGTTGTCCTTGATATGAATAAACAACACAAACATGCCAGCAAAAGTGATATGTAACAGATTTGCGATGTTTGCAGTTTTAGTTGTGGTCAACCAGTGTGATGCACGAACATCCAATAAATCACTACTGCATTACTGTCTGAGAAGTAGGCAGAAGTCAAAGTCTGCAAAAGTCTGAGAAGCAGGCAGAACATTTTTGTCAATTGCTTGATTTTTTTTCTGTCAGGATTCATTAGATGGGCACATACTTTAGCAAACTCATGGTATACACACCACAGCTCAATAATCAATAAAGTAATATTGCGAGATTTTAGACACAATATATTAAAATTTTCACTACAAAGACATAATCCAAACAATGCATCCAATCAATGGTATTTTAATTAATAGATTAATTTAAAAAAAGTACATAATATTATCATTCCTGAATGTTTTTGAATGGATCAGTTGAGCAAATGATTCAAGGAGTCACTCATAAGGATACTTGATTTTTTTCATTTATAAATAAATCGGTTTTGAACAAATTGGTTGAGTGATTTATGACTTGTTCAATGTTGATAGGATACATTGGAACAAAGCATTTGAGCAAAGATTTGCTCTAAACATCTGTCTGCGTAATTTAAGCCTAATCAGTGGTTTGAATGAATCGGTTGAGTGATTAAATACTCACTCATTCCTGAATCAATCTGTGTAAATGGACAAACGATTCAAATACTGATTTTGATGTTGGCTTGTTTTATTTATGAATGAATCCTCTAAAGTTTTGAAAGAATAGACGAGGTATTTCCAAAGCTTACTGATAAACATAGAGATTTAGGGATTTTTAGTGATTCAGTGAGTTGTTCATTGATGAATTGATTCGCACAGTGACTCTGAATGTGTAATTTATGAATGAATCAGAGTTTTTAAACAAATCAGTTGAGAGGCTTGGTCATTCTTTAGTGAATTACTGGTTTGAAAAACTTGTTTGGGCAATTCAATTACATGTTCATTGCTAAATTGATCTTTTTACTAGCAAATTGGTAGCAAACGATTCAAGACTAACTAATCTGCTTGTTTTATTTCATGAATATTCCTCAGAGGTTTGGAATCAGTTAAGTGATTAAATGGCTTAGTTATTCCAGAATAAATCAATGGTTTTAAACAAATCGATTGAGTGATTCAGTGACTCGCTCATTAGAAAAATGGTTTTGAATGAACTGGTTCATTGTTTAAGTGACTCGTTTAACAGCCATTTCTCTCAACCTACTAGTGTAACAACAATACAAAAAACTTCATTAATTGATGCAAAAAGCAGATTGATTCAAACAGTCCAACCAAACTTCACCACCAGAACTAACTCTTATACAATAATAAACAAAAAAAAATGTCCAGACTGATTATGATTTTGCAAGTTACTACTGAATAATGACTAGTAGCCTAAAGTCACACCAAGTTAGTAAACTTGTTTGGAGGCATAGCCTTCCAAGTCAGTGCATAGCCAAGGCGAGTCAGTGATTAACATTTCCCCACAAACACTTATCCTGATTGGAAACAGCTCCTAGCACTTTAAAGTTACTTTCCCTTTCGTAATTAGAGGTTAAATAATTGAAAATGCAAAATGAGCTCCCCAAGTCAAATCAAGCTGAAAGTGAAACGCTTTGCAAGCGATCCAAAGCAAGCCCATGGTTCTCCCATCAAACAAAAGTAGCTTGTAAAGCAGCTTAATTGATTTTAATGAAGTGATTTGTAAATAGAGAAACTTGGAGCTGAAAAGAAGGAAGTCTGGCTAACAAACAAAGAATGAAACCAAACAACGCCAAATCTTCATCAAACCAATAGTAGTTCATTTAATAGAATAAATCAATAAAGTACATACGATTTTCCTTCCTGAATGTTTTGAATGGATCAGTTGAGTGAATGATTCAAAAGGTTACTCATAAGAACACTCAGAATGTTTTATTCATAAATAAATCCAATAAAAATGGTTTTGAACAAAATGGTTAAATGATTTATATTTTGTTAATTGGTGAATGGAAACATTTGTCTGAATGAATCATTTAAGCAAAAATTCACCGAAAAAAAATCTGTCTGCGTGATTTATCTCTGAACTAAATCAGTGGTTTGAATGAATCAGTTGGATGATTCAGTACTCACTTATTCCTGAATGAATCTGTGTTAATAGACAAACAATTTAAATACTCACTTTGATGTTGGCTTGTTTAATTTTTAAATGGATCCTCAATTGTTTTTTTTTTATCAATAGATGAGAGAATTTCTTAGCTTACTGATAAAAACAGAGACTCAGTGATTTTGAGTGATTCGGTGAGTTGTTCATTCCTGAACTGATTCAAACAGTGAGTCTTAATGTGTAAATTATGAATGAATCAGGGGTTTTGAACAAATCAGTTGAATGGCTTGATTATTGCTCAGCGAATTACTGATTTGAGCAACACATTTGAGTAATTCAATTGCTGAATTTTTTAGCAAATTGGTAGCAAACAATTCAAGACTTGCTAATGAACACAATCTGCTTGTTTAATTTTTCTGAATATTCCTTAGAGGTTTGGAATCAGTTGAGTGATTAAATGGCTTACTCTTTGCAGAATAAATCAATGGTTTTAAACAAATCGATTGAGTGATTCAGTGACTCGCTCATTAGAAGAGTGGCTTGGAATTAACTGGTTCATTGTTTCAGTGACTCATTAAACAGCCATTTCTCTCAACCTACTAGTGCAAGGGTGTCAAACTCAATTCCTGGAGGGCTGAAGCCCTGGACAGTTTAGTTCCAACCCTGCTCCAACACACTTACCTGCAGGTTTCAAACAAGCCTGAAGGACTCAGTTAGTTTGAACAGGTGTGTTTAATTAGGGTTGGAACTAAACTGTGCAGAGCTGCGGCCCTTTTGGAACTGAGTTTGATACCTGTGTACTAGTGTAACAACAATGCAAAAATCTTTATTAATTGACCCAAAAAAGCAGATGGATTCAAACAGCCCAATCAAACTTCACCACCAGAACTTACTCTTGTACAAAAATAAACAAAAAATGTCCAGACTGATTATGATTTTGAAAGTTACTACTGAATAAATACTAGTAGCTTCAAATCAGACCTAGTTAGCAAACCCGTTTGCAGGCATAGCCTTCACCAACCATTATCAACAACACCAAACAGCCCAGCCAAGGCGATCAGTGATTACCATTTCCCCACAAACACTTATCCTGATTGGAAGCAGTTCCTAGCACTTTAAAGTTACTTTCTCTTAAGTAATTAGAGGTTAAATAATTGAACATGCAAAATGAGCTCTTCAAGTCACATCAAGCCGAAAGCGAAACACTTTGCAAGCGGTCCAAAGTGAGCTCATGGTTCCCCCATCAAACAAAAGTAGCTTGTAAAGCAGCTTAATTGATTTTAATGGAGCGAGTTGTAAATAGAGCAACTTGGAGCTGATAATATGGAAGTCTGGCTTACCTTGCCGGACGTCCCGTGGCGCTATAGCAATGCCGTTCTTGGAGTGCAGCTGTGTGACACAACAGTCATCAGGTGGGGATTGCAACACGCTAGAACTGGGATCTAAGGACTGGTTGTGGGGTACGGTGGGCAGCAGGGACACCGGAGGAGCTGTGTTAGGACACACGCATCCTGTTTGGGTGATACTGCAACTTTCGGTTTCCCAGCCTGCGCCAATATGCAAGCATTCCTCAAACCACCGGCAGAGTACTCCACAGGTAAACTGACTGGAATTCTCATTGTTAATAAGCAGAACCTCTACTAGCCGAAAATCCAGGGTTTCTGCTGACAAGGGGGCTTGGCTTCCCTCGGACGTCCCATCTTCGCTGTCTCCGTCTGTGCTTGGATGACTAGTCAGGCACAACTGTACAAAGTTCTTGTCGAACTGTAGGAAGGTGTGAGGTCCTGGGACCATACAGAGTTCCACGGCTTCAGGGTCCGAGGGGAAGGAAGGCTGGTCTGGAGGGCCACAGGTCTGGTTGGAGAGGTAGTGGTCCAAGGGCAGCACCAGCGGGGAGAAAGCTAAGCAGGCACCGGCATGGCGATTGAAGCGGAAATAGAGCGAGTACTTAGTGGGGTCAGGGTTCTCCACAGTCCACGAGCATCCGGATGCCAGAGCCGATGGGCTGGGAAAGAGGTCCCTGAGCGAGAAGGAGCCGTATAAGACCCCGGCCACCAGAGAGGAGCAGGGGGCAGCCTGACCCAGCGGCTCCACGGCCCAGGCCAGAGCGAAAAGGGATGACAGCACAGACAGACAGAGATGACCAGCAGTGTTCATCCTATGTCATTTGTCCTGCAGGAGAAAAGAGATATTTAGATGAGTCATAATAACTTTTTTTATATTATTAACAATAAGTTCACAGCACTGATTTACTGTAGTTAAAATAGTCTGTCAAAATATTTTTTGATGGAAAATAGTAGAATTCAACGTACACACATTTAAACGGAACAGAACGTTCTGTGACGCAAATCAAAATGATGTTCATTTAAACATATACAATTATGAATCTATGAAGAGTTTTGTAGATTGTACAGAGAACAAAAGTTACAGATTGACCTATTGACCTTTGCAAAGAACACACAAAGCAAAAGGCTGGTCGGCAGTGTTGTGGAATAACTCTGCATAATCAAAAGACTAGTGCAGTTGAAAAAGCTCTTGCAACAACAGTTTTCTGAAAAAAAATAAAAAATAAAAATAAATAAATAAATAAATGTATAAATCGAGATATATATATATACATCGAGATATATTCATTAAAGAATAAATATAATTATAAATCAGATAAAAATATATATATATTTACAACTTACATGAAAAACAACATGCAAATGAAAAGCCATCAACCTTTTCATTCATTCATTCATTAATTCATTTTCTTTTCAGCTTAGTCCCTTAATTAATCCAGGCTCACCACAGCGGAATGAACCACCAACTTATCCAGCACTTTTTTACGCAGCTGACGCCCTTTAGGCCACAACCCATCTCTGGGAAATTATTTAAATAATAAGATATACAAAATAAAATATAAATATATCAAAAATCAAACAAACAGTGCTCGGGATTAGCTTAAACCAGGGGTGCTCAATCCTGTTCCTGGAGATCTACCTTCCTGCAGATTTCTGTTGCTACCCATATCAAACACACCTGAACCAATTAATTAGGACCTGAACATCACGTGATAATTACAGGCAGGTGTGTTGGATATGGGTAGCAACTGAAATCTGCAGGAAGGTAGATCTCCAGGAACAGGATTGAGCACCCCTGGCTTAAGCAATGTGTTGATGATCTGTGGGTAAGGGATTCGTCAGAATAAACAGTAAAAATCAGTCCAAGGCACTCGAAAAATGTGGAACAATATTAAAAAGCCTTTATTCACATGGCTAATCCTTAACAAACCTACACATTTTGGCAAAGAACTGCCTTTCTTCAGGGTAACAGTGCCATCTCAAAAAAAGCTTTTTTAAATATTTAAAAAAGGACTGATTTTTTCTGTGTATATATATATATATATATATATATATATATATATATATATAGAGAGAGAGAGAGAGAGAGAAAGAGAAAAAAAAAAAAAAAGAGAGTGTGTGTGGGGAGAGAGAGAGAGAGAGAGAGAGATATATGTGTGTGTGTGTGTGTGTGTGTGTATGTATATATATATATATATATATATTTTTTTTTTTTATTTATTGAGAGAGAGAGAGAGCGAGCGCGCATCGCTCTC